AGATTTGAAGCCAATAACTGACTTTCTAAAAGCAAGTGTTCTGCATCCAGCTTGGGTGAAGGTGTCTAGCTTAAGCCCCGTGACAAAGAACTATTGGGCACAATGGGACCAGTTGAAGCTTGAAGATGGTATTCTTGTCTAGAGATGGGAAAGTGACGACCTGGCAAACAGTTATACTGAGAAAGTTACGGGAAGTTGTGCTGCATCAATCCCATGATAGTTTGGCAGGAGGACATCTTGGAGTTAAAAAGACATTGAGTCACCTATGGCATAGATCTTACTGGATAGATATGTGGCAAGATGTGGAAGAATGGTGCAGGACCTGTTAAAAGGGGACCCAAGCATAAGGGACATGCTCCAATGAAGTTATATCAAGTTGGTGCACCAATGGAAAGAGTAGCCATTGACATTGCTGGTCCAATACCCCAAACTCATGCTGGAAACAAGTACATTTGTGTGGTGATGCATTATTTCACCAAGTGGCCTGAGGCATATGCAATACCAAATCAGGAAGTTACAACTGTAGCTTTGGCTATTAGTGATTTCTTCTTCAGGTTTGGTATGCCACACAAACTGCATTCAGATCAAGTCCGTAACTTTGAATTAGCCGTGTTCCATGAATGTTGCAAGTTGTTTGGCATATGAAAGACCAGGACAACAAAACTTCACCCACAATCTGATGGGATGGTAGAAAAGTACAATTGGACACTGGGACAGGAATTGGCGAAGTTTTGTAATAGCCACCAAGATGACTGGGATGTCTTACTCCCTCCACTGTTGATGGTCTATACAACAGCAGAGCATGAAACCGCTGGATACACTTCAGCAAACCTGAGGTTTGGTCGGGAACTTCGGTTCCCAGTGGACCTGATGACAGGAAGCCCTCCTTATGAATAGTTGCCTGAAAATGTGCCAGAGTTCATGAAAGTGTTATCTGAAATATGGATGATATTCATCATCAAGTGCATTCCAACTTAAAAACGTCTCCTGATTCCATAAAGCTATGTTATGATAAGAAATCTACTGAAGTCAGCTTTGTACTAGGAGACAAGGTGTGGTTGTATAATCCCAGGATAACCAAAGAGAAGTCTCCTAAGTTGTCTTCTCCATGGGAAGGCCCATATGACATAGTGGATCGTCTCTCAGATGTGGCTTTCCGAATAAAATGTGGTCGGCGAGGTAAGCCGAAGGTGGAGCGAAATGAACAACAGAACAAATGACGCTTCTGAAGATGTTTCACCTGAAAAAGCCACTGTTGAGAAAGAAACTACCCGGTTTTGAGAAGGAAAACAGTGAAGCCATTAATGAAGTTACTACCACTAATGTGATTGCTACCAATAATGGGGCATTTCCTGATGGAGCAGATGAATCCCACGTGAAGCAGAAGCCAATGAGACGGAGACCAGTACAAAAGAAGAAACGTCCTGTATAATTAAGAGACTTTGTTGTATTTTTATTTTGTGTTTGTAAATTCTGTACAATTAGTTAATTATCTATTGGTTTAATATAAGTGGCTATTGTTCGGGATGAACAATACTAAGAAAGGGGCAGTGTTTTACGACAGCGGAAGTCATGTGATGTTGCTGACGCATGCGTAACTGAGTTTCTTGAATTATCGGGGAAGTTTGCAAATTTTGGAGATGCATCTTCGTTAGTATATAAGCCTTGCAGAGAAAAGCCAGGGAATGATAAAGCAAACAGTAGTTACGGTAAGTTTCGTGTAATTTATGATTCACTTAGTTTCGAGCTAGTGAGCTGTAAAGTGTGTGTTTTGCACTCGTAGAGAGAGAAGTTATCGAGGTTGTGAATCGCTGTGATATATAGTGTGTATTATAAAAGTTGTTAAGTTGAAAGTGATGAGAAACGTACTGACTGTGGAATTACTGTGTACTAAAAGTTGTATTGAGAAAGAATAAACTGGTTTAATCAAGAAAGAACTCATTGAAGTTCCTCGAAAAGAATTTCTACCAGAAATTAACAAACAACCAGATACGTAACAATATCTTTTTCAGATATTCATACCTTAAAAACATCAACTTACTGATGCTTATTGTATATGTCAATTAACTGTTATTAATATTTTATTTTGTGTATTACCTTTTGTATCTGAGTTAAACTTTCCTGCATGTGTATTTCACATCACGAATAGATGAAGACAAATAACTAGATTAATCTTGTCTAGGTAAGAAAGATATCCTGTTTCAGTAATATAAAATGATGGTCGGTCCAGAAGTGACACTGAATAATTTGCAAAGGCCTCATACTGTGGAAGGCTATTG